CTGAATGTAAGTGGAACATGAGTACCCAACAGGGAAGCTTTTAATTCCAAGTTAAATGGCATTTTCAGTTCTGCTTGAATCCTAGATCCATCTAATACAATCCAACAGTCATTTATTTTTGAATCAATAACTACACTCCTGTGCATCCATCATGGGTTTTTTTAATGAACATCAAAAATGATCAATATGTCCCACTGCACATGTTGGCTGTTGCACAGTTGTATTGGGAGTTCTACTCACTTTTATGTGCCATATAATCAGTAAGATAAGATAAGATAAGATAACTCTTTATTGTCATTGCACAGTCATACATAGTACAGTAGTACAATGAAATTGGAAAAACTGTCCTACGTCGGCACTACATATAACACAACACGACACGATATGACACATCACAACGTAACAAACAACACAACACAGTATATTAACTTAGTATAAAAAAGAAGAATAAGTGTATGTGTATTGCACACTGTTATTATTGCGTGTTGGGAAGGTTAGTTTTAAAATGTATTCCATTACAGATTACAGAATACATGCCCCAAAATGTATTCTGTACCGTATTCCGTTACGTTACTCAATGAGAGTATCGTATTCTGAATACTTTGGATTACTTAATATATTATCATGCTGTTTACAACTATGTGAATGTACTATTGCTGTGTGATTTATTACTGTTACTGAAGGTCCGCGGCTCCGAACCGTAGTAAAGGGACCTCTGACTAATATGGTGGGTTCTGTGTCAGGCTCGTAGCCAAAAAATAGCTTTACTTTGTTGTGTGGGTCAACTTTGCTTGCGAGAGACAAAGAGAGGCGTTGAAAGGCTGCTCCAACGGAACTTATTGTTTTTGGAGGAAAACACGAACACGGTGTACAGTCGAGTCTTAATAGCTTACTTACAACTGGGCTCGTCAGGCACTCTTCTTGGCTGCAGTGGTTATTATTATATTTACATGCTTCCAGATCCCGTTTTTGCTCGATGACAGCTCGTACCTTTCCTTTTTCTCCCTCCCTCGCTCACAGACACATAACGTGTATGGCAGTCCATTCTCCCTGCAGCACGGACTACACTGCCTATGATTCTACATTCTTTAGAGCTTCAAAACTGACTAGGTTACTTTTAAACATATAACATCCATTCATCCATCTTCATCTGAGACCGGGTCGCGGGTGCAGCAGCCTTAGCAAAGAGGCCCAGACCTCCCTCTCCCCAGCCACCTCCTCCAGCTTATCCAGGGGAACACCGAGGCGTTCCCAGGCCAGCCGTGTACTTACCTACCTAACTAATAGGGTTGCCAACTCCCAGCAAAAATATTAGGGAACCATGCAAATGTAAAACAAATGCACAGAAATCAATTATTTTTCTACACTAATTAAATAGATTCAACATCTTTCTTCAACAGAATTGCAGACTGCACAGATGGTACCTTCCCAAAGGAAAAAGGTACTATGGATTTCTATACATTTAATCAGATGACCACTTTTGTTGTAAGATTCAGATAATTATTTATTCAAAGTTTTTAAATGGCATAACAAAGAAAAATATTTATTTGTGCCCCCCTCTCCCTGTTAATTGCCTACCTGGCCCCTGACAAAACTTTGCTAGATCCACCCCTGCACAGTTACCAGCTGTCAGCTACATAAAAAAGGATCCTGGTGTTATTTGTCTCTCAGAAACAGTTCATAACTTCCCTTCAACTCATTAATGTCACCTAAAAGGTAAACCTGTTTATCCATCACCTGCTCAGCTCTAGTAAGGACGTTTAGTAAGAACATCTCCTGGTTCCATCTTCATGTTTCCCTCTCACCACATATCCAAACGGATATCATGACCAGCAGCTTTTACAGCTATGCCTCCAGCAAACCTTAGCTGATACTAGAAAGTAATATTAAATACATTCTAACAACAGCTGATCATGCTTAAACGTGCTGCTGTTGTTTATCCGCTGGTCTCCTCTTTCTAGCGCAAAGTGAGCGATAAACAAACAAGAAAGACGGGACTTGCGACAGAAAAGCCAATCAGCTGATCATTGATCAGTTTCATGTTTGAAGTAATAACAGGAGAGGAAGGGGGAGAGAATGAGAGAAGTAGATGCAGCTGCGCAGCAAAGACAGAATAACGCCAGCTTTGTGTCTATTTTTTAATTCTAGCTGAAGTACAGGACAAATCGCTTCCTTTCCACCTCAATATGGAACTCCGATGGCCAGTCCAGCTGTGGCTCAATATATCAGTTGTTAAGCTTAACGTGGAAATACTATGCAAACATTCAGGGATGAACTTACACACTTGCTTTACTTCTCTGGGATAGTTTTTGCCGAGATGAAATGCCGCGGTTAGGAAGCATGCAGCGAGGCTCCAAATGCTCCAACAGACCGCCGACAGGTCTCGCAGACAACAGCCGCTCTATCACGTGACACATACTGCTCCGATGTGCCGAGCTGAGTTTCGCCAAGTAGCGCGTTTTGTGAGGTGATTCTGTGATACTTTGGATTGGATTACATTTTTTATTTCTCTCCGATATCCGATCCAGTAATTTAGATCAGTATCGGACCGATACCGATACATAATATTGGATCGGTCCATCTCTATGGAAAACCCTAAAAAGCTGAGCCAAGTTGAGCAGGTACTAGTGGAAAAGAGGCTAAATGGATTGTGTGTGGCCTGCGATGTAAATGGCCTGTATTTATATAGTGCTTTACTAGTCCCTAAGGACCCCAAAGCGCTTTACATATCCAGTCATCCACCCATTCACACACTGGTGATGGCAAGCTACATTGTAGCCACAGCCACCCTGGGGCGCACTGACAGAGGCGAGGCTGCCGGACACTGGCGCCACCGGGCCCTCTGACCACCACCAGTAGGCAACGGGTGACGTGTCTTGCCCAAGGACACAACGACCGAGACTGTCCAAGCCGGGGCTCGAACCGGCAACCTTCCGATTACAAGGCGAACTCCCAACTCTTGAGCCACGATCGCCCCATAATGTAAGATGAGTCTGACATTCCAGCTGTAGATATTGTGTCCAATTGTGGTCTTACAAGTTTGGAAAACTTTCTGTATGGCTTTGGGAGACCAAGGCAAGCTTCAGCTCATGATACCACCCTCAGTCCAACGGCCAGACAGAAACACTAAGTCAGGAGTTACAGGCAGCCCTGCTGTCACTTCACCCCTCTGAGGACCATTCATAGAAATGCAAGTAAGCTCTGCGCGTTCATACCTCCACACTAATCTCTGTCACCAAAAGCTCTTTGTACTGGCTCAAACACTCTTCTCTTTGTCGTGTGTATTTCCTGCCTTTTCTGGACCTGGAGGGCTTTCTCCTGACATTCCCAGTGTTTACCTTTGCTCCATAGTAACAAAATCAATAAAGACTGTAAACATTTCTCTGAGTGTCTCTTGGTTCTGCATTTGGTTCCAGTTTGCCAACCAGACACACGGCACTCAAGATCAAAATTAGAATTTTTTTTTCTAAATATTAAAGTCACTATTTATTCCCGTTTAAAATGATTCAGTCAGAGGGATGCATTTTAATTTCTTAGAATCTGAAAATATGAGAAGTAGTTGTAGGAGGATAATTGTTAGAGTATCTAAGACATTACATGTCATGTAATTGAGAACACTCTAGTTTGAATTTCTTGCCAGTTCTCTCCTGAACGGGGCAAATCTTTTTCTTGGCATAAAGTATCTCACCACCTGGAAGAATTTGGACTGAAAATCCACTCTGCAGTGGCCAAACTAGGGTCAGCGCCAGTGCATAAGGACTGGACAGGCAACCAACTCTGACAGAGGGGCATTTGGCCCCCTTTACTTTGGTGTTTCATGAAAGAAATAAGCTATGACAGATGGGCGTACATTCATACTGTCATTTCAACTGACAAAAAAGTGTCAGCTAAACAGAGGTTATAAATGAAGACGCATAGTAGGAAACCCAGTAAATTTACATTTAAAACAGTATGACAAAGTAAACCTATAACCACCACCATAATCAACTGCATAGTAAATTCAAGCCTATTTTAAATTGTCTTAAACTGGTATGCATAAATACAACTAGTGTATTTACAGACAATTTCAAGAGTTGTTCTGGATAAATCAAGGTTTAAGAAAAAACCTTGTGGGAGGGCGAGAGCCAATCACAGCTGTCAGGGAGCAATAGGCAGGGTACACCAGGGGCAGGTCACGCATCTATCACAAGGCCAATAGGCAACCTTTCACACCTGCAGTCAATTTAGAATCACCAACTAATGTAACCCACGCATCTCTCTGGACTGTAAGTAGAAGTCAGATTGGCCAAAGAGAACTCACACAGGCGCAGGGATTCAAACCCAGGACCTTCATGTTGGGTTTGAGTCACTTGGTTAGCCCAGTGAATGGATGGATGCCTCTTTTTAATTTTAGTATCATTTTACAATGTAAAAAGCAGGGAATTTGAAAGTTGATCTCTAATTTTTATCTGTACCATGTTTCCGAAGGCATAATTTATTCCTCCCGCTGCCTCAGCAGAGCAGCAAACATCAGGACAAGGACAGTTCCCACCCTGGCTTTTATGGCGTTATTTTTGTTTTTTTACGTGCGCTCAAATTTTTTTTTTTACGTGCGCTCAAAATAGTGGCACAAAAATAACGCCATACCTGTAGGTGGACACATCAACCTTGCTAACTTTAGCGTGTGTTTATGTCTTCTATAATGGCTTTACTGAAAGTGCGGTTAAAAGGCAGTTTCAGTATCATTAACGTGCCCTGTTCCCAGTTTACTCGAGATAAGTGGAATTTGATTGAATCTGTTTCCTTTTCTGCGCAACTTTAAGGTTTTATTTCTGTTTAAAAGAAGGAAACCCCAAACCTTGCATTCCCGTTTATTCCAGTGTGATTTCATATAAATGAGCAGGTTTGACGTCGACGCACGGGTATTAGAGAGCTGCCGGGCTGTGAGGTGGGGGTCTCCGAGAGTATAAGAGGTGTACACACAGCTAGAGCGCACAGATGCAGCTGCCCGCTTCCGGGGGGGCACTTACTCTTCGTCCGTTTGGATAGAAAACTCTTACTCAGAGGCTCTAATCTGCACGTTTTTTGGAAACTCTCCTGCTCGCCTTTTCCACTTCTTCCCTCCAGTCTGACTAGTTCTTTTTCCTCCTGTGTCAGTTTAAATCTTTGCCTTTCTTCTCACTGTTGCGCGGTTAAGTTTTCATCACCGAGGACAGAGTGGGCAGCACTGCAGCATGGAGCCTTACACGGTCCCCGGAGCTCAGCTCTCCCTGTCCGACCTTTACTCCGTCATCCCCTTCAATGTCACCCTCCCGGCTGATGAGAGCGACTTAATGAGCGACAGGCTGCAGAACTACACCGAGCAGCAGAATCCGGCGAGGAGCGCCGGGGGTATAATCATAGCCATATCCATCACGGCGCTCTACTCCGTTATTTGCGTGGTGGGACTTCTCGGCAACGTCCTTGTCATGTACGGAGTGGTCAGGTAAACACTATCATGCTTTATTAGCACAGTTACTTTAATGAGTTTGTGGCTGTTGATGAGAGCAACAAAACCCACTTTATGCCTAATGCAAAGCTTCATTTGGGGGTTTCAGGCCCCAAATACGCGCTGATTTCAAATCAAATTCAATTCAATTCAAATGTGTTGCTTTAAGTTTTCTTCAGTTATCTCAAGAGCTTTTCTAAATACAAATAAAATTTATGTTTTCTGAGGAAATGCACACGAATTAACAAAAAAATCCCAATCAGACCCTTGTAGGATACACGTGATGTATATACCGGAAAGTTGCTTGCTAATTACCCATCGATTGCTCCTTTCCTGCACTTTTTTAGTGTCTGTGTCTGTGTTGAGCCACAAGTGTGTACTTGCACTGCACCTGCATTTGTAGGTGAAATATGACTCTAAAAAAAAAAAGAAATAAACCCTGTACGCACTTATTTCCCTGAAAAGCCTCCCAGCCCTAACCTGCATGATGAGGAAAAAATATAAACAAATAAATAGACAAGAAAAAAGAGCTTATATTGCTTGCTTCTTATCCTCATTTATACCTCCTAATCTCAGATATTCTCTTTATCCCCAATATCAGCCAAAGTATTAATCACGACTCTTGGCTGGAAAATTGAAGAAGCAGGTAAAATTAATTTAGGAGGCACCAGCTTTGGGGTAAAGCAGCTGTAAAAATGTGACAAGATCAGCAAAAAATAATGCAGTTATATATCTATCTATATCCTAGCTATATCCTAGCTGCTGGTCATATTTCAGCCTATGGAGGGAACAGTAGAAGACAGCAGCAGGGGGAATCCAAACAGAGAAATAACAGAAAATCTGGAATGTATGCTGTGGCAATCAAAACTGATCCATATTCAGAGCTCTGAGGTATTTCCATTCAGGTGTTGGCGTGAAAAGATTGGGAAAAATAAGCCACCTAAACACAAAGGGGAGCAAGGGAGGAAGGAGGGAGACAAAAAGGGGATGTCTGAGGAGTCAGCAAAGTCAGTGAGTCACACTGTGAAGCGATTTACTTTACAATGATGTCACATATTTCAGACAGCACCCACACCTCCATGAGACGGGAAGCTCGAGCACAGTAACCCAGTGAGAATGTATCATCTCCTGTGGAACATCTGTAAGCTCTGAAAGTAATGATCTTATTAACAAAATCTTAGAGTTGCCTTCAAATGAAAAGTTTGGCATTCTGTAATAGCTGTACTATGGATTTATGAGCTCATTAATACACAAAATAACAAAATGCTTTAGGTGAATTTGTTTTGTAGTGCCTTCGTGTTTGCAAAAACTGGAGGCATGAATAGCAAAAAAGCAGGGGAGTCTCCAGAACTATAATATTTGACAGATTACATTTTCCTTTTTTCTTTTTTAAAGCTGCATTTTAAAGCACTGTTTTTATCAACACGATGTTCGGGTAAAGAACCCACGACTTCTAAATTTATCTCACTCTTCTTACATTTTCAAAAAAAAAAAACCCAAAAAAGATCCACAAAATACGGTTAAACAATCTTGAAGAAAACAGTAAAGGGACCTTGTGTAAGTCCATCCACTGGAGGGCAGATTGCAGCCTGATCGTCCCTGGTCAAAATATCATCTTTGTGCACTTCTACTTGATAGACAATCAATGCGTGCTTTTCCTCATTGTTTTGTGGAACAAATACATTTTGTATAATTTCCATTTGACATAAATTGGCTGCAATTCAACCAACATTTTAATTAAAAAAATACAGCATTAATAATATGGCAGTTATGTCCTTTAATTTTTCTTTCAGGAATTCTGTTCGTAAGAGGCTAACATCCTGATTGATTTAAGACTGCTGACTGTGTTAAGAATAACTGCACACACTGCCTTAATGCCACCTGTACTACAAATAATAACCGGATGTTAAGCCACAGGAGAATTTTCCTAAAAAATTCAGAAATTTAGAAAAAGTAGGATTTCTCCATAATGTTAGGCTTGAATCCCATCTGTTTTATAGAACAACAGTAATGGAGCGATTTAGAGAGTAAAAACTGTTATAACCGACAGTACTGTTTTATTATTATCGAAGGTGTATTGGAGTAGATTTTGTGTTGTATATATTTTGCTGTATTTTCCGAATGTAGGGCCAGTGCATTTATATAGCTGAAAACTGTGTATTTTTATATCCAAAATTGCAAAGGTGTGGACCCAGGAATCAGGACAATGCAGAATTGAAGTAAACATTTGAGGAACTCTAATTTGATAACATCCATCCATCCTCTTCCGATTATCCAATTGAGGGTTGCAGGGGGCTGGAGCCTATCCCAGCTACCACAGAGTGAGAGGTGGGATACTTCCTGGACAATTTGTTGCAGGGCAGTTCGACTATATGAAAGGTTTTTAATGTCATGTTAATGTTAATGTCATTTTATTGTCTTTTCTCAAAAATTCTAAGTTTTCGCCTCAAAATACTAATAATACTAGCTATAAATTCAGAATTCCACTTTTAATTTATAATACTGTATAATGATTTTCTTTTTGCCATCTCAGATAAATGAAAAAGAGCTTAATTGATATTTATTTATTTAATAGTGATGAACTCTGATGGAACAACCAAATATCACAGCAGTGTTTATTGGACATGCTGGTTTAAGTTGCAGTACCAGCAGAGGGCGATATTTTATTACAAGACAACATGAATATGGTTAAAGAGACATTCCGAACACATTTACATGTAAATACATATTAGCCAAGAAGCTTCATTGTTTCTGGCATAGAAGGAGTCTGCAATGTACTTTATACCTTCCTTGGTCACTAGCCAAGTGTTGGCTTTAATTACATTATCTCCCCCTACTGGTAATACAACTTAAGCATGCGTGTCTATTTCACGGTTAAGAAGATGCAAGGGGTGAGATCCACATGGTGAACCAGTGTGTCCATTACACTCAATGCTGTGATAATTGAAGATGGGCACAGTGACTGTTTCGGAGGAATGCATTGTTTTCATGATCCATGCAGAAAGTTACAGCCAAGTTCAACAGTTATATTGTCATCACTGTTAAAGTGACTTGGTGGTGCAGTACAGTGTTACTACAGCATTTCGTGTGACGTTTCAGCATAATACCTGAAAGTCCCTGGTCCCAGACTAGAAAGAGACACAACTTCCTTTGGGGTTGTGTCAGGGGCTGTGAGAACCTCTTATGAATAAGTAAACAGTAGCCTCTGTTCCTTCTGTAGCAGTATTGCAATGAAATATTTGAGAATTTTCTGCCATACATGGGGTGAGATCGATGCAGGCTGAACAGAATGGCAAACAGTACTGGGGGTGTTTTGCCGAGGGGTGACCTGCATGCATGGATGAATAAATCAATAACTAGAACTAGTTTATTTACTGCCACGTGTCAGCTTTGATAATAATAAACCAAAAGCCCATTTGAAAGCATCCATCTATTTTTTTTTTTAATATAATGAATTTTGAATTTGTGCCTCCACTTAGGTCCTTCGATAGAAACACACACACGCAAACATGCTCCACATTTATAGCAGAGTCTCCCTGGATGCTAGCGTCATTGTGGATGTCACACCGGTCTGACATGACCTGACAGCCTGTTTTCTGATGGAGAGCATGACGCAGACGCAAACACACGCTTCAAGCGATAGTCCATTCAGTTACACAGGGCAGGATCCTTTTATCTTCCACAGGTTTTCCACCTTCTTGCTGCTGCACTGTTTAGATAAGAACCAGTTCAGTGCTCATGCAATATACTGTCAAGTGGGCTAAATTTGAAATCAGATCGATATGCAGGTAATGGAAGCTGGGCTCAGTTTGTGTGAAAATAGACTCTTACTGAGCTTCTTCTTGTGGATTATTGTTCAATCTCTACTGAGACAGTAGGTTTTGAAAACATTTACAATTTATGTTTTGGATGTTCTGTAATGGGAATATTGTGGAATGACAAAATTTAAAGTTAATTACTGGGGTTTGAAATTTGCTTGGAAATATTGTAGCTCGTTGCCAGTAGGAACATGACTGTGTGTGTCTGAGAGATGGCAGTCAGTCTGTTCATTTCCTGGGCTGAGTCAACATGGCGACTGCATCCCATGGCTTGTCTTGCATCTCACACAGCAGGGATTGATGTCAGTGTGCGCTTGTGTTTGTGTCCATGTGTACCCTTCAGGGGAGAGTCGAAGCTGACTTTTGTGTCAAAACTGAAAGGACTGATGTAGTCACAAAATGTATTGTAACTTTAAGCTGCACTGAGATGAAAGATAAGGAATTATCTAAATGCAAATCTTAAATCTCTGTAGCTCAGTGTATCAAGAAGCACTTCAAACTGCTGATGGTCATGTAGTAGTGTGGAGGAGATTTTCTTTGCACACTTTAGGTCCATTGGTAGTAGCTGAGGATCAGCACAGCATTGCCGCACCAGCCTGTGCTAATAATTGTCATGATGTGTGTGGAGTTTGGAGCCAAAATGCAGACTAGAAAAACAGATTGGAATAAATGAAAATGAGCCCTTATTCAGGTGAGCCAGCAAATCCAGATGACAGAGGGAAACTGAAAGCAAACCAAAAGAGAATACACAGCAGGACCAAACAGTATGACTCAACAAAGCACAGTGGGAGACAGAAACAATATACACATGCATAGGATAACGAGAGGATGGGCAGCAGGTGGGAAAACAGCTGACAACAATCAAGGGAGACTAGACACGAGAAGCAAACACAGGATGAAGATAAAATAAAACAGGAAGTACCAAACTATGCCAAATTATGGAATCGCAAACAGGGACAATGATGACTTGACAAGGAACAGGGAACACAGGGAAGGGCTGATAACTGAAATAAGGGAACTAATACAAGCCAACGAAAGTCAAGAAAATAAACCAGGTAATCATGATAGTAAGAACAGCGAACAAAGCACACATTATCACTGCCAGATAAAACTTGAAATACTAAATATGAAAGAGAGCGCAACCAAGGCAAAGCATAGTATTAGATCAAACTTAAAATG